CAACTAAATGGTTTTGCTCTAAATTCGATAACTATTACTTCGAATATTGCTAATTAATTAATATATATTAGAAAATTAATTTATTATGTGATATTTAATATGTGGTATTTACAGAGTGAATCTTAAATATGGACCCTAGAAATACGTTTATGAGTTTTTTTTTCGCGAGAAAAAAAATTATTTGGAATTTTTTGAAAAAAATGGGTTTTTTTAATGTTTAGTTAAAAAACATAATATTTTCATAATATGGCTACATAGGTAGTAGATTAAATTTACAAAAAAAAATAGAAAAGATCCAGTGGTGCTCAACATTTAAGCAAAAAATCAAATTTTTTGATAACTTCAAACTAAAATATTTCGACGAGTATTTCGGTTATTTTGGATTTACTTGAAAAACTGTAAATATGTTTCTTCTATCGAGATCTATCGGCTCTGAGAATATTTGCCCTTAAGAGTTGCCTTTAAGACTCACCCTGTATAATCATGATGTATATGTAATATATACAAGGTGGTCTGAATTGTATTCCGAAAACTTCGCATATTCTGCAAATAATAATAAGTAAAAAGGTTCGTATAAATGTATATCCTAAAATGCTTAGTTTCGGAGATACAGAGGGTGTTGAAGCTTCATTTTTATTTTCATATATTCTTCGTAGCGATTTTTATCAAGAGGCATTTTTTACGTAAATATCATAGAAATGCATATTTTTTTACTTGGTAGTTCTATTCCGGTACGGACGAAAAATTATTACTCTTAAAAACAGTTAAAACACATGTAGGTGTCGCCCCCTATAAAGAGGAGTCATATTGACATTAAAATCAATTTCCTCATGTCAAAAAACTCTCAGACACTAATTTTCATCCAAATATTGACTTTATTTCAGAAATTATTTGGAAGCAATCGAAATAAAAAAGAAATTTCTACAGCCTGTATCTCCGAAACTAAGTATTTTAGGACATACATTTATACGCACTTGTTTACTTGTTTTCATCTGCAGAGTATGCTGCCGAAGTTTCCGGAATATAGTTCGGACCACCCTGTATATGAGATGGTGTATATACCGGGTGCGTTTCAAAAGTGGCTCCCTATAACTTTTTTATTTTCTCCGATAAAAAATTGGGATTTGGTATGTTAATATACGACATAAATTAGGATTGATTGACGTATTCAATTGTATTCTGTCACTTCCTGTTTCGCCAGAAATGACTACAACTTTTGATTTTTAAATGGCACCCTCGGTATTTTTTTACTTTATTCGATGAAAATTATGTTTACTACGCTGAACAGAATGACATATCATATGTCAACTTTTGACATTTTTGCTTAAAACAAAATTGAATTTTAAATTTCTATATATAGTAGTATATGCTAGTATAGGCTGTGTTAAAAACACTAATTTTTAATCAAGCAGCTTTGGAAAAATAGATTTGATCGTCTAATGTTATTCGTGTCTTGTCCTGGCCGCGGCTGGTTAAAAGATGCCCAAATCGTATTTTTAAGCATATCTCAATTTTTTCAAACGGAACGAGGGTGGCTCATTGGCATATTTGGAAAAAGCATTTTTTTACGAATGATTTGGTACCGCTCACTTGGTATTTCAAGTCAAATTGTCGTTATGAATCGCATGTTGCAATTTCTAATAAACCATATTCGAAAATGTCAAAGTTGACATATGATATGTCATTCTATCCAGAGTATCATTTTCTATCGAATAAAGCAACAAAAAACCGAGGGTACCATTTTTAAAAATCAAAACTTGTAGTCATTTCCGGCGAAACAGGAAGTGACAGAAAACAATTGAATACGTCAATCAATCCTAATTTATGTCATATATTAACATACCCAATCTCAATTTTTTATCTGAAAATATAAAAAAGTTATAGGGGTGAGCCACTTTTGAAACGCACCCGGTATAAATTGTTTTAAAATAAAAATTAATAATTTGTTTCTGGATGTTTATTAATTTAAAATTTGTCACGATACAATGTTTGATATTTTTATGGTTTTACCACTCTCAAATATATTTATATAAAGTATCAAATTGTATAGTTTTGCATGCCCTGATTTCAACATTTTTATTTATGGTCTATAGGGATGAAAAAATAGTAAAATTCTCAAAGAGGGTTATATTCTTAAAAACTATGCATTATTATAAATATCATATTTGCTGACATTGGACTATTTGACTAATGAAAAATCAAAGAGATTATAAGCGAAATTGCTATTAATATTTTTTTGTCTCTACGGCCAACGACACATACTTCATTGTATTTCTGTATCATAATTTTCTATTCTAAAGTTTGAGATAATTTAATATTAATTTTTACATTATTAATAAAATCTAAAAAGATTTCATTAGACAAGGTAACTTATTCAAAATTCCGACATGTTAAGAAACTGCTCTACCCCACTATTTTAAGAAATAATAACAAATTTATTTACCGTCCAAAAAGGAATTTTGAACTGTATGTAAATATGGAAAAATACATATTCATTTTTATGCAAAGAAGACGTGTATCAAATTTAATAAAGATATCTGCAATAACCTCAGAATTATTAGTGAAAATGTTTTTTTAGAAAATTCTTCAACCCTGTTTCTCAAAAGTTAAGATATTTAGGTCATACATTCATTAGATTTTTTTTTTCAAAACTATGTTTTTCAAAACAAAGTCTATGAGTCATCCCCATAAATATTAGTTACTACAATACATGTTATTATAGAACACCTTGTATTCAATTTTTATACGGGGTTGTTCACCACATACGACACGGAGTGTTGTAGCTAAACGATCATATTTTTACAAATTGTAAATTTTAGTTTCGTTGAAGAGCTATTAGAACTACAATTTAAAATAATTTTACAAGATACAGAGTGTCCCAAATAATTAAAAATTATTATAGTTGTATTTTTTTAAATGGAACACCCTCTATATTATTCTATTATTTAGATTCTACGATTGAAATAAAGGTAAATTTGATGAAGGTTTATTACACTTAAACCTTACTGTTTTTGAAATATGTTTAATTTTATGAAATTGCAGTAAACATTTTAAGGCTTCATTTCTCCAACGGTATCGAAGTTGTTAATACTAAATATTTACTGAAGTTTATTTATTGATCAGATATTGTGTTGCAATAATAAACGAAATAGTATTATATACAAAGTGTCTAAAAATGTATGTTAAATAATTACTAGCTTTAAACAGCAATAACTTTTTAACGTTTATATGTATCTTGTATATTTTGTATATTTTCTCAGAATCAGATGCACAATTTAGTTGTGTATGAAATTGTATTATACTATTTTTTACCTATCTCTTCAAGTTTTCGTAAAAAATGCATTTACTTATAATTTAAACTTCATTTATCACTATACCTATGAAATATTGACATTTTAGATTTTTTTTTAATGATGTAACACATTTTCAAAGAGTACAGATACGAATATGGTCGATATAGTTCGCTTATTTCATTAAAAGATAAAAAGCAGTTTAAATATTTTTTGTTAAAGAGGACTAATTAATATGATCCCAGTATTCAAACTACATTAATTGACTCTTTACGTTGATTAATAATAATTGCTTCAAATACTAAAAAACTGAATTTTGTATGTGTATTAGACACTGTGGTAAAAAGTAACACCTTATAAATTTTATTTCATTTTTTGACGAATTATGGTATTGATTTCTGAGTCAAATCCACATTTATTTAGAATTATTTATTAATTAAAACAATTAAGTATGTAATTAACTCATTTTTGGGCGAAAATAATGGTGGTTATTAATAATTAGTAATAATTAGTATACTCTTTTACAAAGATTTAAATAGTTTTCTTCTTGTAAACAAATGGGCTTGCAATATTATTATTTTTACTACCAGTACATTTTCTACATAGTTGCTTTAAAAAATTGTAAAATGTCAATATTCCATAGGTATAGTGATAAATGATGTCTAAATTATATGAAAATGCATTTTCTACGAAAGCTTGAAGAGATAGGTAAAAAATGGCATAACACAATTTGATAGACAATTAAATTGTGCATCTGATTCGTGTAAAATATACCGGGTATTCCATTTAAATTAAACAAGTTATTGCCGTTTAAGGCTAGTAATTATTTAAAATAAATTTTTTGACACTCTGTATAAGGTAATATAATTTTTATTAATGCAACAAAATATCTGATCAATAAATAATCTTCAGTAAATATTTAGTATTAAAAACTTTGATACCATTGGAGAAATGAAGCCTTAAAATTTTTACTGCCATTTCATAAAATTGAAAATATGTATTTCAAAAACGGTAAGGTTTAAGTGTGATAAGCCTTAATCAAATTTACCTTTATTTCACTTGTAGAATATAAAAATAGAATAACATACAGGGTGTTCCATTTAAAAAATACAACTATAATATTTTTTGCTTATTTGGTTTGGTTTGGTTTGTTGGCACTCTGTATCTTGTAAAATTATTTATTAAGTTGTAGCTCTAATAGTCCTTCAACGAATCCAAAACTTACAATTTGTAAAGATTAAATCGTTTAGCTACAATACTCCGTGTCGTATGTGCTGAACAATCCTGTATACCAAATAAAATAAAAATATTTTATATAATACGTTATCTGTGATAATACCCATAATTCAAATTTATACGACATAACAGAAATCAATGCAATTGCTGATTTTATTGACACCCGGTGAATTTAGGTTAATAATTTTTTCAACTAAAACTAATTGTGATATGTACCGTCCAAAAAAGAATTTTGAACTGTATGTAGATAAATATAGAAAAAAATAGCTATATATTTTTATGCAAAAAAAAATTAATATATTTTTTTATAAAACTAATGTAAGGAGAACATAATTCTATTTTTTTTTTCTATTAATTTATGAGAGTTTAGTCCAGTTTGTTTCACACGATCTAATGCTAGTTAATTTTGCGGTTTCTTATTATCATATATAGCTATACTGTGGTCGTTATCTTCATTTTGCCTCTTGTTCGTTTTTGGTTGTGGATTTATCTATGAAGATATTCATAGGAGTAATAGAAAAAAGAAATTATCACTGATATAGGCACCGTATATAAATATAAGTCATAGGCATAAACAAATCAAAACAAAGAAGTTAGTTCTGAGTCTCCATATCCTAGCCGAAATTGTGTTTTTAACTTTTTGAATTTTAAATTCTTTTTTCTTTAATTTACTTGTGATTTCGTAAAATGTCGTGGTTTTCAACATTGGAACAAGCACCACCTATCGAAGTGTTTGATTTATTAAAACAATATCCTAATGACGATTTTCCACAGAAAGTAAACTTAAGTGCTGGAGGTAAGTTTTTTTTTGTAATTTTAAATCAAAGAAATTTTAGTGAGAAACTTATCTTGTCTTATTTTTTTCAATTCTTTAAAAAGGATTATTTCGCTATTAATAAAAATAAAAATAAATATTATACTGTACTAAATATTTATAAACAGATTTTCTTTTGAAGTTGCAAAATTTTGAAAATTATTTTAGACCATTACTTTTTTTATTAAGTATAAGCGTTTCGAAATTGACAGTTTAAGTTATTAAAAGTTTCACTTGTTTAGGCACTAGTGCCAAAAAGTAAAAAATACAACGTTAGAAACACGAAAAATATTTATTTATTATAAATCTTAAAAGTACAATTATTTAAATTATTAAAGTGAATACAAGAGGCATCCAACTTTTCGTCTCTAAGAGAAATGCAAGTTGTAGGAGTCGGAATAAGTAAATTTCTTGTACTGGCAATGCTGGTAGCTTCTGCTTCTACATGAACTGGTTTTAATTTCTTATTTGGTGTATCTTTCTGTCCCATGATTCTTTTTGCTATTTCGGTTGCTGTTCAATTGAATTTTCAATGTAACCTCTCTCTCTCTTCAGCAACCGAGCTTAATCTTTTTTTTTGCGTTCTATTTCCAGTTTTGTAAATACTTTTGATTTCTTTGCCTGATATCCGGAAGCTTTTCTTTTTAAAAATGCAATAAGGTTTGTGCATTTGTTAATATCTACGTTTCTGTTCGGGTAAATCATGGTGCGGAGCATCAAATATTTACTCCACAGAGTTGACGGCTTTACGGTAGTGGATAACTTCAGGAAATAGGCTAGCAATACCTTTTCTGTGAAATTCTCAACATGTGTTTTTTTGACCCAGGTTTTAAAGTTGTTGTAGGTGGTCTCGTATAAGTTTTTCAACTTCTCGCGGGCACTAACGTGGATAGCGCAGTTTCAAGAGCTTGTTGAATATCCAAAGGTTTGTCATTATCACTCATTTTTTCACAAAACTTTGTAGGAAATACGGAATAATACGGCGACGTTTGAACCTGGCAAAACTTTGTCATTAAACAATGCATAAACGATGCCTTAGAAACCCATTACCAGAATATATTAAAAAATGTTTAAAAATAAATAATAATAATAGCATGAAAATCTCAAATTATCCGCTTTCACAAAAAATCTTGTATGATATTCGTTGCAAAAATAGTGTTTTAAGCACTCGACGCATTATCCATTCATTTCGCAACTTGTTACATACATATTTCGAATTTTCTGACGAGAAATACTGCATAACAACTTTAAGTTATTTCTGTTATTATTCTGATGTTGATGCTTGAACTACTTTCTCACAAAGGCTGTTCATTACTACTATTTGAATCAATTTTGACGAATATAAAAAAACCGAGCAAAAAACTTAACACGTGTCTTATTTTCATAGCTTATCGAACTAACGAAGAAAAGCCATGGGTTCTACCTGTCGTACGAACAGCCGAAACAGCGTTGCTTAATGACGAAAAGGTGAATAAGGAATATTTGCCTATTCTGGGTTTCGAAGCATTCAGCAAATTGGCAACACGAATCCTATTAGGGGATGATAGTGTAGCGTTAGCAGAAAACAGAGTATGTATACAAAGAACTATAGTAATATTCTCCTACATTTCTTATTTTTAGAATAGAATACATTTAAAAAAAAATGTTTTTTTCTATTATTTTTTTGCATGTTTTGATTTTAAGTAATTATTACAGAGTTTAGTTGTCTGCATAAGTAAAATTTACGTGATATAGTACTAAAGCGGCCCATACATTATCAAACAAATTGCGCAACACATGCTGTTGCGCAACGAGTTGCCAATGTATGGTAACGTTTGATGCGTTGCGCAATTGTTTGATAAGTTTCAAGAATGTTTGAATTCTTTTGTGCAACAGGACTGTTTGCGCAACGCGTTGTGTAGTGTATGTGTGTGTTGCGCTTCGTTGTGCAATATTTTAGTTCTTTTATCCAAATTCTTTGTTTTCTTTTTCGTTTTTTTTTTGGTATCATCGACATCATCTAGGATATGTACGATAATAATTGATGCAATGGCAATTGAGGACATGATTGTTTCTTGAACAATGCACAACTTTTAATAAAAAGTCAACACAACGTTGCGCATCGCTTTGTTGCGCAATTTGTTTGATAATGTATGGGCCGCTTAAGAAAATGTATGTTAAAGACAATAACTTTTTTTAAAACATTTTTCAGGCATTCGGTGTACAATGCCTCTCAGGTACGGGATCATTAAGAGTTGGAGCGGAATTTTTAGCAACTAAGCTTGGAAAAACAGTTTTCTACTATTCTAATCCGACATGGGGTATGTAAATTCAGTAATTTCAAATACCTATAATCTTTCTTTACAAAGCATGTTGTCGTCAGTTCACTTTTTATTTATGGTTTATATAAAATACAATTTTAAAAAATGCTTTTATATAAACTATATCACTGGAAGTCATTTTTGAATCTATGTAATGTTTTATATATTTTGCGTAGTGCGTTTGCAAAAAATCTAAATTTTTCTCATTTATTATATCCTCTACAAAGTGATCCTTGAAAGATAGGATAGTATTTATATTTTTTTTTTGTTGTTTGGATCAATAATTTTTAGGCATCAATACAATAAAGAAATTACTCTAGAAATTACTAAATAATATGTGAAAAGCCAAAAATAAAAATATAAAAAATATATCTTTTTTTTAATACAAAATCGGAAAGAATTCAATATATTGTAAATTAATTTTGGGATAGATTAAGATTTTGAAAGAGAAAGTTTAATAAAACTGTGTTCATCTATAATAAAAAATTAACGGTGTTTTATTTTAAAGACCTTAGAAAAATTAAACAAATTAATTTTATTCACACTGTATACAGTATGTTCCCGGATTGTCTTTACAAGAGGAAAAAAACTTTTTTTTATTGACATTTTGATAAAAATGCATTCTTAATAACAATTTTTGCTTGCTCTAAAATGGTTAATCCCGTTTATATTTTTGGAAATTTCCATACTGTTTTAGAGAAAATTAAGAAAAACTTTTTAAAAAAATATAGTTGAATGCCCAAAAATCAAAAGGCGTTTCTATGGTAATATCAATTCCATTTCATTCTTTAATATTATAGATGGTTATTATTAATTATGATAAACGTCATATTCTGTGCTGTTAAAAGTAACACATTTTTCGATAAATATTATCATTCTTTCCTTAGCATTGAACTAAATAAATTTTGTGCTTCTTTAACATTTTAAAATCACAAAAAATATTACGTTAATTAAAATTTTATGAATAACAATCTATCAAGGAATGAAAACGAAGTTATATTACCATAGAAACGCCTTTTGGTATTTAAGGACTAGGAAAAAAATTCAACCATATTTTCTTAATTTTCTCTAAAAAGGTATGGAAATCTGGAGAAGTATAAACGGGATTAACCATTTTAGAACAAGCAAATTTTTTTTAATGAGGAATGCATTTTTCTCAAATGTCAATGATAAAATGTTTTTCCTCTTGGAAAGACAATCGGAGACATACTGTATAATAAGCACTACAAAGTATGTTTTATGCTTAGTTTTAAAAAGATCTTTTATAGTATGTTTGGTTAAAAATAAACTATTTAATATACCCCTTTTTTGAAATAAACTTACCTCGCAAATACACAAGTTAAGAGTTAAAGAAATAGATGAGTAACAGATGATAAATTCAAAATTACAATTTTATTACAAAAAAAAGTAAAATTTCATTATTAGTTATTATTTTTAAATAATAATCTATAGGTAATCTGTCATGCCTTGCTTCTGAATATAAATAATTCTTCCATGAATACTTTATTAAAACAATAGGTAATAAACTATTTTTTATACTCTATGTAGGTAACCACAGATTGGTATTCCTCAATGCCGGCTTCAAAGACGCCAGAGAATACAGATACTGGGACGCAGAAAACCGTAGCCTAGACTTAAACGGACTCCTGGAAGACCTGAATAACGCTCCAGAAGGTGCCGTGATAATTCTGCACGCCTGCGCGCACAATCCCACTGGTTGTGACCCTACCCAAGACCAATGGAGGGAAGTTGCCAGAGTTATCAAGGAGAAAAAACTGTTTCCGTTCTTCGATTCGGCTTACCAAGGGTTTGCAACTGGGGATTTGGATAAAGATGCTTGGGCTGTAAGGTTTTTCGTGAAAGAAGGACTGGAGCTGTTGTGTGGACAATCGTTTGCTAAGAATTTTGGATTGTATAGTAAGTATATTATTAATACCACTGTCTTAATTTAGGAATAATTATTAATACCACTGGCATCTAAAATTTGAACTAATCAACACATTATTATAAGTTGTCATTTAAACCAGTGTGAGTTCACGCTGGTTTAAATGAGGAGTTCTAAGGGTTCTTCCAGCCCCATTTTTTCTTTTAACACTGGACGAGTATTCTGCTAACAATTTTAGCTCCATGAGCAGATAATTAAGACCAAATAGCTGAGTTTTGAACATCTGCTTATGATAGTTAGCTACTAAATATTTAGCGCTTCCAGTTTTAAAAGTTAAGTGTGGGTGCCCTAACTGTGACAGCCATTTTTTAATTTTGCTGTTGTAACAGCAAAGATTCCAACGCCGGCTGTATTATTAAATTAGACATAATATATTCTTAATATTTTTATAAGGGTGCTCCCTATTCAAAATTCCTTTGAAAAGTTAATTTTAACTTACTTTATATGCTCTGCTATTTTTTTATGACGTGGTTTTTGTGATTTGTAATAAAAACTCATAATTTTAACAAAAATAAAATTCTTTTGATGGTTTTAGACGAACGCGTTGGGAATTTATCCATAGTTTTGAATAATCCTGAAAAAATACCAGCTGTTAAATCACAAATCACTCTAATAGTCAGGGGAATGTACTCGAATCCACCAGCTCACGGGGCCAGAATCGTTCACTACGTCCTGAGCAACAATGAGTTATATGATCAATGGTAAATTTACAGTTCTGTTGATTAAATGTAATATCTGTAATATATCTTTACTGTAGGCGAGACAACATCAAAACCATGTCTTCCAGAATCAAAGAGATGAGACAGAAACTAAGAGAAGAATTGGAACGAATTGGTGCACCTGGATCATGGAACCACGTAACTGATCAAATTGGAATGTTTTCATATACTGGCTTAAATGGTATGATATCTTCTAGATAAGTTGTCATAAAAATTACACAAATTGATAAACTGGTCTTAAAACATATTCTATTTTTCTCTTTTGGAATTTAACTTCATTTATTTTATAAAATGTCACATGCGAAATTAAGCTGGCTGGTTGGCATTTACAATATTATTAAAAATATTAGTCAAGTGCGAGTCGGACTCGCGTACGAAGGGTTCCGTACCATTCATTATCTGTACAACATTAGACACTATATTATTATAAACTTTTTTCCGATTTAGCTGAAATTTTGAATGCGCCTATAAGTAATTGCGCGTATAAAAAAATGAAGAAACACATTACTAAAAATTGTATTAATCAATAATAAATATGTAAAAAGTAAAAATAAATATGTAAAAATTAAAAAAACTAACCTAACCTACCGATTAAAAAAAAGTCGCCGTGACTAGGATTCGAACCTGCCTTACTACGGCTCCGACGTCATAGCAGCGTAAAGTTCTAACGCTTTAACTACGCGGCCACCGAGGACTTGAAAGATTCTATTTAAAATTCTTACTTAAAAGATAATGTTTAGTGAAAGTACTTTTTTATCTATAAACATTTATTTAATTCTCTTTTTAGTATTTGTTCTTACAGCGGCAACATAGTTACATTATCTGTAAAAATTTCAACTGTCTAACTACTATCAACTGTCTAGTAAAGTCTTAGTAATAGGGTTTCCGTTTTTACCCTTTGGATACGGAACCCTAAAAACATTTAACTTTTTCTGGAGTAGAAAGTTTAATATTTAATAAAATTCAATTACAATATTATTAATGTCCCTGCTTTTTGTATCTAAATTTCTTTTCCCCACTAATAAGATTAGACATTCTAGTCCAAGAAAATAGGCCTTCAAATACGAAGTTTTGATAAATTTTTGGAATTTTTGATATAATTTACTTTGAAGGATCTAAAAACGATTTTTCGGAGAAACAGTAAGGACTGGAAAAAAAAGTTCCAATAGAAGTTGTAGAGGGTCCAATTTTACATAAAATTGGTCTCTATACTTTTTTTGCTCAAATCAAAATTAACCGAGATAGGATGGCTAGAAACTACTGGACAGCTTTTATTGAAAGTTTATTTTAAGTCGTTTACCGTTTCTCCGAAATTTTGAAAACAAAAACACTTTATTTATATTTTTCACCCCTTCTCGGGGTAATAGGCCAGTCGGTACGTCGTTTAATTTAATAATTAAAAATTTTAAAAAAATCGTAACTACAAAATTACAGTAGCTAGCGAAACGCGGTTTTCAATTTAAGATTAGGAATAATATTTGCAACAAAATTTGTAATAACATCAAAATCAGTCAAAGTCGCAGTTTTTGAGATATTCCGGGTTTCCATAGTGCGTTTTTGACAAAATCCGTGTGGAAAACTCCAAACTCCCATCGGACGTGACCCCAGGTGGCGGATAGGGGAAATAACCGCGGACCAAAGTTGGAAAAATTCCTTTACTCTGAAACTAAAAGAACTGCCTACCAAATTTTTATTAACATATTTTAGTATGGGCGGCTATACGTGCCTACCGGCGCCAATTTTTTTTAAATACATCTTAATGTGCGCTAGCGTTAAATTTGATACTTGATCTATTCGACAACAGCGCAAGACGGCTGCCGGGGTGCGGTCAATTACGCAAACCAGTTCGGGCAACTTTTAGTTTTAGTGTTTCATTATACTATTCCGAAGTAAGACACAAAGATTAGGATTAGGCCTATAGGGGAAACCACTTAAAAAAAAGTGCGCCGAGTGCTCTACCGCCAGGTAGTGTGGAAACGAGCACAAGAAAAATATAAATTTGTACTGGCAAATTATTCAAATTTACATAGAATCAGTTTGTCATATTAAATGAACCACTAGAAAATATATGATTTGTATTTAAGCGCCTGTATCTCGTTAACCTGTTCAAGCACGAAATCAGTGAATAGGACCTTTTTTGTAGAAAATTTAAATAGCTTTTTTTGTATCTTTCAAATTGTCTGTACAGTGCACCCAGACCGAGTTATTTAAAAAAAAAACATAAAAATGTCATAATTTGACAGTATTTTCCAATATGGCGGCCAAATCCGGGATCGATAGACCGTGCAACTTTAATAGAGTATTCAACAAACCAAAACAAAGAGAATAAGTTTTATTGCAGCTTGCCTCTAGTTATTTCCACCTAAAACCACTTGTCGACTGGTCTATAAATTAAAAAAAATAATTAAAAGTTATAATTTTCCAAGCAAATTGAGTAAAAATGTTAAATATATGAATTTTTCAGCAACTTATATATTTTTTTTTAAATTTCTACTATCATCCCCTAGTTTCTAGCCCACTCTATCTCGGTTAATTTTGATCTAAGCAAAAGAAGTATGTGAACATTTTTATGTCATACCCTTTTCGGTGGTGAATTTAAAAAAAACTTTCACAATTCGTTTTTAGATCTTTCTAAGACTAATTCGTTTTTAAATTTATAAAAGTTATATTAGTAAAATAATTCCAAACAATTTGTGGAGCAGCATACATAATAAAAAATGCCCGTTTCTGTCAATGAATTTCTTGAAAAACAAATACCGACTACACAAATACACGGTTGCCCATCAAAAACGTTCCGCAAGGCATAACGGCCAGAGTAATTTTTTTTTCAGAAAATTAAAAAACACGTCAATTTTGTTTGTGAGGGGGACAACTTTTGCCCCAAAAATGATTGCAAAATCTACAACTTTCTAAGCGGGGGTGTCATGCCCCAACTTTTTTCAAATGAGAAGGGGGATCAAGTGTCGCCGCAATGAAAAGAGATTTCTATTCTCTATATTTCCCCGCTTCGTTTTTGAAAATCGGTCGAGTCACTGAGAAAATATGAAGGATTGAAATTTGAAAAGTTTAATTAAACATTTGTCAGAGTAAATGATAATGATAAATTCCTTCGACCAATTTGCTGTTTTTTCTTATTATTTCTAGATGTTTGCGCATTTTTTCACTTGCCACAAGGTTGAACGGTCAGTTGCGGTAGTTGCTAGATAGTAGCTGTTCTGTGAGTGGTGCGTTGAAGTTCTTCTCAATATCGTTAAACTTTTTAACAATTATGGTGTACTCACTTGCAGAAAAAGTGGAAATAATCGAACTTTATTTTAAAAATAATGAATGTATCGGGTTGGGCACATATTCAATGAACGCTATCCTGACAAACACCTTTATGGCAAAATTGTTCGCGAGTTAGTAACAAAATTTCGCGAAACTGGTTCCGTAATGAATAAAAAGAGGCAGAGGGAAAATCCTGTAGTAAATGAAGCTATGGAGGTATTCGTATTGGGCCAAGTTGCCATGGTTAGTACGCTGAGTACAAGAAAATTAGCCAATGAGACTGACGTGAATCGTACAATTGTCCAAAGGATATTAAAAAAACACAAGTTCCACCCGTACAAAATTCAGTTGGTACAAGAACTCAACGAAGACGATTTTGATCGTCGCTTGCAATTTTGTGAAACTATGAGTGGCGAATGATAATAATTTCCTATTTAATGTGTGTTTTTCGGATAAGTGTATTTTCTTTTTGAACGGTGTAGTTAATCGGCACACTGTCGGTACTAACCTGGCCGTTCAACCTTGTGGCAAGTGAAAAAATGCGTAAACTTCTAGAAATAATATTATATATTATATTAATATATATATATATATATATATATATATATATATATATATATATATATATATATATATATATATATATATATATATATATATATATATATATATATATATATATATATATATATATATCTTATCATTTATTCTGATAAATGTTTAAATAAACTTTTCAAATTTCAATCCTTCATATTTTCTCAATGACTCGACCGATTTTCAAAAACGAAGCGGGGAAATATAGAGAATAGAAAGCTCTTTTCATTGCGGTGTCACTTGACCCCCCTTCCCATTTGAAAAAAGTTGGTGGATGACACCCCCGCTTAGAGGGTTAAAGATTTTGCAATAATTTTTAGAGCAAAATTTGCCCCCCTCACAAACAAAATTGACGTGTTTTTGGATTTTTTGACGAAAAAAATACCCTGGCCGTTATGCCTTGCGGAACGTTTTCGATGGGCCACCCTGTAGGTAGTTAGTTAGGCACTGGGAATTTTCATTCCATATATTCTGAAATCAATGTTTTGTTAGAAAAATAGATCAGTTTATAAATTGATATATTAGTGTCATTTCAAGAAGATTACTTCAATATTGTTTTAATTTTCAGCTGCTCAATCTCAGCACTTGGTTAAGAAATACCACGTCTACATGCTTAGTACAGGGCGCATTAGCATGTGCGGTCTTACTCCAAGCAATGTGGAATATGTTGCGAAATGTATCAAGGAAACTCTAACAGAAATACCAGCATAGCATTGAACTGATGATAGTTGGAAATATAGCATATATTTAATAAGATTCAAATATTTTATACAGGATGGCGCACCTCATTCGCCTCGGTTGATTGTACGAAAACGGAAAAATGTAGAAACAAAATATTTTATGGGTATATGTGGGGAGGCAATGTGCACGATTTGAAATCATTTTGAAATGTACAGAGTGTGTCAGAACTAAGATCCATACCAAAGTTATATTTTTTCTTATGGAACCCTCGGTATTTTATTTCATTTTTAGATCCTTGGGCATAAAATAAGGCATTTTTATAAGGATTTAATATGTTTGAAAGCTTTGGTTTCTGAGATATTTAAAGATATTTAAATAGGCATGCTATAATAAGAAAGTTTGTCAACACCCTGTACATTACTTTTCAGAATTAATTCTTGTGCTGACTTTGAAGCCAGAGAAATAAACTTTACTAAAAAATTTGATTGCTTCCTTAAATGTATACAAAAATTCTGGTCTATTTTAAATATTTATTTTACATAAAAACTTCGTTATTTCAAATACAACACCCTGTATATTTTAAAATAAATCGAAGCAGATTCACATGCTCTTTCAAACTATATCAGGGTTTCCTATACCTATCTGGCTCAGATTTTGAATAAGCGATTTTTCAATAAAATGGCAATCAAGATGACTTGTGTCGCCATGGCAATTTGCTAGTAACAGTTAGTAGCTATTTTCAATATCTACGTTAGTTTAGAACTTTATTTAAATTTATAAGTTTACTTTTATTTAATTTACCTAGGTTTCGGCCGAATAGATTTTTCATATACCACACTAAACACTCTGCGAAATAGGAAAAGTAGTTTTTCAAAGGAACGCTTGTCAAGAAAATTCCTATTTGGCTACCTTTGAGCATAAACCCTTCAGGTCGACAAGCAATTGTCCTCACAAAATAAACTAGTAACATAATCCATTCCTTCCGCCAACGGATTCTGCTTCATTTTTCTTGATAGAATAATAAATACTTACTTATTAACCTTATTGTAGGTAAATTAAATAAAAATAACCTGTTATAAATTGAAATAAAGTCCATAAACTAATGTCGATTTTGAAAATAGCTACTAGAAAATTGCCATGGCGACACCAGCCATCTTGATTACCATTTTATCGAAAATTTGCTTTTTATTCAAAACCTGAGCCAGATAGGTATAGAAAACCGTAATATAGTTTGAAAGAGCATTTAAATCTGCTTGGACTTATTCAAAAAAATACATAGTGTTCCATTTGAAATAAAGATGTTTTTATGTAAAATAAATATTTAAAATAGACCAGAAATTTTTGATAGCCCTGTATAGATTTAAGGAAGCAATCAAATTTTTTAGTAAAGTTTGTTTGTCCGGCTTAAAAGTCAGCACAAGAATTAATTCTGAAAAGTAATGTACAGAATGTTGACAAACTTTTTTATTATAGCATGCATATTTAAATATCTTTAAATATCTCAAAAAACCAAAACGTTTATACACATTAAACCCTTATAATGAATGCCTTATTTTATGCCCAAGAGTGCAAAAATGAAATAAAATACCGGGTGTTCCGTAAGAAAAAATATAACTTTGGTATGGATCTTAGTTCTGACACACCCTGTACATTTCAAAATAATTTTAAATCGTGCACATTGCCTCCCCTCATATACCCATAAAATATTTTGTTTCTACATCTTTCCGTTTTCGTATAATCAACCGAGGCGGATGAGGTGCGCCATCCTGTGTACATTTTTGCACATGGAAATAAATATCAAGTTGAATAAATAAAAAAGTATATGTACCAATTTTCTTAATTTCTTGATGTACACAACTGTTTTTAGAACTTTGTCAATGCTCTTAGTAGCTTTTCATTTAATTAAATGCACATGTTATGCCGTGCTGTATTTTAAGACATGAAAATTGTTTTATGTCTATAACTTAAATATGGTTTTTATCATAACACAGTAGTGATGGGTTGTTATTTAACTATCTGTTATTTTATAACAATTATTTAGAAATAACATAACGCAACCGTTACTTCTTTTAAAAAATAACAGATATAAAATAACAACACGCAGAGATCGAGTGTTCGTGAAACGAAGTCAGCGCTCTGCACCGCCACGAAATTCGATGCTGCTCGAAGCAATTCCAAAAAACAACTAGTATGGATGGAAAACCTATTATTTCGACAACCATCGATACAGGCGGCGAGATACAACGGAGTGGGGTATGCGCTACGGCGCGGCGCGTCGTGTTGGGCTGACAACAGCTTAAAAATAATAGGATATAAAAGAAGCAGCTTTTTTGAAACAGTTGCGGGCATAACGCCTGGCTGTCGAGATAACAGGAGTGGGAAAGGAGCGCTGCTGCATCGGTCGATTGTCGATGGAGGCTCGCAACGGGTTGGAGAATAACGCATCAGTTGTTTTAGCTATGTTGTTTTTTACCTGTTACGAGCATAACAGAACGGCGTTCGAGATAATCGGAGGTTTGAAACAGGTTGGAGAATAACGCATCAGTTGTTTTAGATACATATTGTTTTTCAACCTATTACGAGCATAACGGGCGGAGGTCGAGATATTATGGCGCTGTATGTTTCAATACTTTGTTATTAAGTTTCAATATTTAAGTATTTATTTATTCTCAAAAATTTTCAGAATAATATTTTAATATTTTTTAAAAATGTATACAGGGTGTTTTGAAAAATCTGGTCATTGATTAATCACGATCCTGCTTAAAGCCCTTGACGTAAAAATCTGATTTTTGGAAAACGGATTGACTTTAGGGTGTAGAGGTGCGATAAGAAGGGATTTTTCGAAACTCAAATTCTAAGGGGGTGAAACCACCCTCAAATATTAGAATATTTTTTATTTAAAAACTGGAGAGTTTTTCGAAAAAACTCTTAAACACGTATATTTTATTTTGTTGTTTTACATATTTTGAGATTTTTACAAAATATATACAGGGTGTTTCATAAAATATGACCACTGAGTAATCACTATTCTGCTTAAACTGCTTAACGTTTAAAGCTGATTTTTGGTAAACGGATTGACTGTGGGGTGTAGAGGTGCGATAAGGAGGGGTTTCTCGAATCTCAAATTCCAAGAGGGTGAAAACGCCCCTCAAATATTACAATATTTATTATTTAAAAAACGGTTAGTCTTTCGGGAAAACGATTGGACACGCATAATTTATTTTGTTTTTTTACATATTTTGAATTTTTTTAAAAAATAATACAGGGTGTTCCAAAAAGTTGAGTAATTGATTAACCACGATTCTGCTTAAATTGCTCGACGTTTAAAGCATATTTTTGGCAAATGTGAGAAAATTTTATCCAGTTTGTATGTTAATGGAAATTCTTGCTTTGCTTTATCATCACCATTACAAATTAATAATTCGATGCGAACTAGATCGGAATTTATAGATATAGACGAGTGGCGGCATTTTGGCTTTTTTATATCGCAATTTGTAAACAGCGCTTATTTGTAAACAACCCCCCTTTTTAGAGAGGTATTTTAGATAACAATCGATATTTAGAAATGTTATGACACCCTGGAAATACTACCACCGAGCACGTCATTGTTGCAACTGCGTTAATACGCCTGGCGGTGACCGCCTCATATTCTTTCAGATATTTAGCAATAAAATAAAGAAACCTGTTATTTTTAAGCTGTTATTTTAAGCTGTTTTTTATAAATAACTATAACAGTTTCAACTGTTATCTAAAAATAACAGTTTTGCCCATCACTATAACACAGACCAATTTATTCTACTTAATCCTCATATCATCTGCAACTTTTAGTAATAAAAGAAACGAAAAAAAAAAAACTAATATCTACACCGAATTTTGCTAAAAGAAATTGAAACTTTTTAAGACCTAAAAAAGGCTAAAAACTGTTCTTCTAATTTAATCGAACTGAAAATCACTTCAGTGGGATATCCAACTTTTTCGACTTATATGACTTAAAAATTACATATTTTCCTGATATATAACGTTATCGAGATGGTCTTATACCTTCGTCTGACTTTTGCCTTCAATATTTCATCCATTTATCAGATCCTGTCAGAACAGAACTATTCTTTGACTACTTTAATACACTCCGAACCTATTTTTGGATTTATGTCTAATCGATATTATCTCCGGTTTCAGTTTTCCCGCCGCTTCCACTGCCAACTAGATCGAAAACTAACTTTTAACAACTTCCGAGCATTACAAATTAATCCGGAAAGAAGTTTTACCTCGATCAACAAACGCAGTGTAAAATTGAGAAAAGACGTCCTAAGTCTTAAATTTAAATTAATCTCTAAGGGTATAGATTGGTGTTTCAAAACTAAATATTTCTTAATCTAAATTGAATAGAAAGCTCCAATAAATGAAATTATCTGATAGTTTATTTCTTGAAAATGTCTGGAAATCATTCTGAAACTTAAATTTATAAAAATAATAATAGACCAATTAAATTAGTGGGTTCACTTGGAAAAAAGTGTTGGAAAGCTAATTATGGTCTTGATTTGTGCAGTTGACATGAAAGATATGTATCCTAGTTGCTCGACCGCCGCTCGACTCGGGAGGACCAAAAAATGGAAAAATTCTTGGACTTTTTTCAGATTTTTACCTATAGTTCCGAAACGTTGCGTTCTAGCCAATATTTCATAATTACATAAATTAAAGACCATTAAATTCTTCATCCCATGATTATCAATTCGTTCAATTCGGTCCAGTAGTATGACAGAAATCGAAAGCTGAAGAATGGTAATATTTACAAATTTTTCTGGTAAACCCAATGAAGTGACATTCAAACGTTCGTCACACGGAGACGATCATTCTAAATAATAAACCATACAATATCAGTTACAGAGCATCAAATTAGCATTACATATCAAGTAATATATATTCCGTCGTCCAACAATTTGTAGAATGAGTATCAATTCGGTTCAGTAGTATAGCTAAAATTGATGCTTTAAAATAGTTATTTTTACAAGTTTTGCCACTTCAAAAGAGCATTTCTTTTTCAACGACCATAATAAGAAGCGTCTAATTAGCATGCTCCATAAAAAGCTAGATGATGAAGGATTTATTGTAAAAGTAGTGGAGGAAGATGCTGATAGA